GTCAACAATATGTATAGAATAAACCAAAAGATGTGGAATGTTGCAAATACTAATGTAATGAACAATTGAGTCTAAGTTCTTTTCGTGCATAGTTAAATAAACAGATTTTCTCATTTTGTTCATATAAATAAAAATCAATAGACAATGCTCGTATAAAAAACTAACTACGTATAAGCATGGTAACAACCCTAAAAAGTGAGCAAAATAATACTCCTACAATTAATCAATCACTTGGAAATTTACTTTTACGTCTGGAAAATGGTTATGCTGGGATTGATTCAGATTGAACCCTTACCTGTTTAATATTATCCACTATAGCAACTTGTGCAGTTCTTGGATCAAGGAACTCATTTTCTTCAAGCTCATTGAATGCTGTAATAACCACCTGAATTCACATCACATGAAAATAGTGAGACGCATGAAGAAAACAAGATGATTAATCTGCAAAACTTCTAGAACGTAATTTCAAGATAATAGGAATCAAATGCTCCTTCCAAAATTGTACGAATGCTTGATTGAAGTATACAACCGTCCACAGGAATGACTTTCTATATAAGTTTTTTCACTAGATATGTACAAAAGTTGACGACTAACTCTGGTTTGTGAACATTCTGCATCTACATGGATGGGATTAGATTGTATTCCATTCAAATTCGAAGATAAAACAGCATAAAAATGGCAAGACCACGCAGAAAATACTACTAGAAATTTGAATAAAACAAAATGCAAGCTCATCACGCAAATCATTATGATTATCTCGAATCGAAAAAACTAGTTCCCCAACCTTAACCGCAAAGAAAAAAAGCGGCTGATAAAGGCTATTCGTACAAGAAACTCACATCTCCAACTCGGCCAGGCATTTCGAGGCAAATCATGTGCGATTTATTGTACTGAGGAAACGCTTCAGATGCTGCCTCGCGGTACAACTCATCGTCGTTCAAAAGTTTCATCACATCTGAAAATTTCATTAAAAAATCATCGGCAATGTTTATACATAATGTGTATGAAACAAAAAAAAAAAAAAAAAAAAAAAAAAAAAAAAAATTTACATATAGAACTGTAAATTGATAACCTTTGGCGACGAATTGGATTTCACCGGAAGGCGCGTTTAGAAGAAACCATTTCGCGATCTCCTTCTTCTGTTCGTGGCTGAGCTCCACTTCTTCGTCGTCCATTGCCGGAAACCGGAAAATTCTGTTACCGATTTTCAAATGAACTGAAGCAGGGAGAGAGAGAGAGAGAGGGAAAGAGAGAGCGTCGTATAAAATTGGAAAAACAGAAATGAGCTGTAATGGACCGGTTCGAGTCTAGTTATCCCGGTTTAGTCGGCCCGCTTCGTCATATTATTCCGACGTGTCGTATTGTGTCAGAGTGGTCGAAAGGTAGCTTTCTTGCCTGGGCTGGGCCCAGCCCAACCGATTAGTGTCGAAAGGTGCCGCGATTTGTCGTTAAAATAATTTTACCATTATTTTAAGAGTAAATTTAAGCTTTCTTTTAATTATGGGAAGTAAAAAATAATTATATTTTAAGGGTTTAAAATATTATGGGAAGTAAATATTTATTTTGGTTAAGCCAAAATCGATTACAATAGATAATCAAATGACGGAAAAAATATCAGATTATTACAATGTTCATCGACGCTACAGATACTATCGCTCTACCTCTTTTCAGTCGATTCGGGAAATTAGAGACGCTATTAAATGCATGGACAAAAAAGGTCAATGAAGATCGAAAATTAGTTGCCACGAATAATTAAATTTTCTTGTAGTTGATAATCCATCATGAACGCGTTCTGTAATTTCGTCCCTAAATATCTATAAATGTGCATCTTTTTAAACGTCTTAAACTTTTGGTTAATAATATATTGTCTACAAAGCTTTAAATAGTTAGAACGGACAATATTAGTTAGTTTATTGACTATGATTTCACAGTTAGTCATATCTCTTACCAATAGTTATATACTGTGAGTCGTTGTTGCTCTCTTTGTTAGCATATATAACGTCTCTTTCAAAATCTCTATTTCGAAAATCTCTCTGTACCCTCGTTTTCTAAAACTTTATTCTTAAACCGAGGCCAGAGGCTCAAGCATACGTCGCTTGGCTGTGAGCGACGTAAGAACGAATTGGCTTAGTTCACTCGTCGTTGGAAAGTGAGTGTCGTACAATCGCAACTCTGCTACCATCAAGAGTATAATTTTATAGATTATTTATTCTTCATCTAATTATAATTTTTGATTATTCATAATACTTTTTTTGTAAAATATATATTAAAATGAAGTGTCTAGTATTAATTAAATTTTAAAATAATCAAACGGACGTTTTTAAAACTAACCTTTAATAATAATAATAAATAAACAAACAAATATATTTAATGAAATTTTAGTGATATATGAAAATAAATTAGAAAATTAAAATTAAAAAATGGTGAGATTTAAATCTTAAAACAATAATAATAAATAAATAAAACTCCAAAATTTTATTATAAATTATTTGTAGGACACGCGTACGGCGAGGATTCAATTTTCGAAGTTAGGTTAAGCGCGCCGCAGTGGTACACAAGTTATGCCCTCGTCTTCGATAAATAGGGTTTTCGAAAGCCCTAAAAACCATTGTCGTTCACTCGTAGCAGTCGCCGTCGCGGAGCGGAAGGGTTTCTCCACCAAGAGCATCAATGGTCTGTTTCTTTCTCTTCCTCAATTCTTTACTATTTCTCCAATGGCGTAGATCAATGTCTGAGATTTGTGTTCCGTTAATTGCAGGGGATCGATCTCGTAGCAGGAGGCAAGAGTAAGAAGACCAAGAGGACTGCGCCTAAGTCCGACGATATCTACCTCAAGCTCCTCGTGAAGGTTGGTTTTCTTATTTTTTATTTTTGCTAATCATCGCTGGTTCCGCTGTCGTGACGAGCATTTGCTTTCACAGATTAAAATTCTTTGAGAATTGTGATGATTTTTTTTTTTTTTTTTTTTTTTTTTTTTTTTTTTTTTTTTTTTTTTTTTTT